TTCTAGCACTCGCGCTCGACGAGGTCAGGAGAAAACAAGGGCTCATCACGAGCAATTGAGAAGGACAACACATATATGTAAGTGTATATATATATATAAACACATACATGCAAATGTATACATGTCGAACTTTTCACATACAGACATCTCAAGATACCCTGAGTGGCAAGTGTCCTAAATGCTGAAGCCGGTCGGCCTTGTGCCTGAACGTCCCTGAGAGCTGCCAGGAGCCTGGGCAAGGTTTGACTCAAGCACTTCCGGTGTCCGGGGATTCGGGGAATCACGGCTTCGACGATCGTTCCACGTCTTGTGTCCAGGCCCATGCTGGGGTTAAAACCGAGGGTCTCGAGAAAAGCATCACTGGCATAAAAAGCTAAAACCCAGACTGCCTAGAATGGGCAGGAGATGCTTGCTTGCTACACATGCTACAGTTCCCTCATCTATTCTCGCAGTGCTCGGTTGTCTTTGCTGAGTCTTAACCGTCTTCTTTGGCCGAGGTTCGCTGAAACCCAAACAGTTGTACGTGTCTCACTGTCGGACTAAGTATCAAGGCGAGGATTGCAGGTTTAAGTACGATTCCTCACTCACATCGGAGTGACACATCCTCCAGACGCTGTCATCCTTCTTCTTCTCTATACCAGCAAGCCATCAACATCCAAATCATCGTACTTTACATGCACCTGCGCAGACCGGGTGTTACCGTTCTCGCGCTCGGACACACAGCAGCAACATGAAACCCGCCAAGGTTACCAGTGAGACGACACGTGAACAGAACAAGTGCAAGAAACCATGTGTCTCCGCGACACACGGAAGGACAAGAGTAAATTGGTTGGACTTGATCTTAGCCGTAGGTCGGCACAAAATCGGCTTCCAGCAGTGCACCCTATCCGGCGTGCTTCGAAGCTCATATGTAGCAATGACTGTGGGTGGTAATGCTTCGCCTTGGTACGTCTTTAGTAGTAGTCGTCGTGGTCGGCGTCGTAGTCAGTGAGCGTGTGCGCCCGCATCTTCGCACGAGTGTGTGCTTGTGTATGGCAGATTTGTGGGCTGTGCATGGTCCAGCAGCCCTTAATTACGATAGCTGACGATTGAAATAGTCCAATCCCAGCGTCCGCAGCAAATCCCGCATTTTGGCCTATCTGCTTCGCGCTTCTTGAAACCAGCGTCTACATGGGATTGAGCTAGTTCTGATGTATAATTTCCCTGCTGATGTGTTTTCATCCTAAACCAGCGTCTGCCGGCATTGATGTGTATGCTCACCAGCTGATGTGAGATAACCCCAACGCCT